TTTTAAAGTCCTTTTTAACCTACAGGTAGAATGAAAACGGTCCCATTCTTATATTCTACTTGATAGCATAAATAGAGGAGTCCGACAAGAGGGTACCAGAAGAGGCAATCCGGAATGAAGTCGTCAGACCTTGTTTCCTTCCGACCACCCTATTTATTCCTTAACGCTACACAGTAAAGGTCCACCCGTCTCACCAATGTGTATTTGTCTCCGCAGAGCTCGCATGTGGATTCCTTGGAACAGGAAGGCTTCTCTATTTAAAAGAAAAAATTGCATAAAAGTTACGGGTAGTCGTTTTCAACACCCTATCCACTAAAACCTGTCTCAAAACCTTCGAATATGGGGAGTTTTGAAGATTTCTTCTTGTAGAATAAATTGATGAAGACCGTCTATTGGGTCTGCCCTTTTTCAGTTACCATTTCTATGTACCATGTCTTCTCACTCAACTGCTTTTTAGGTGTCAAACCGTGTCGCGAACCTGTATAGAGAGGCAGGAATTGACCAGGGTTCAAAGGCAAGTCCTATTTATTTATTTGTTTACTTTTTCAGTAGTGATAAAGGCAATATGGGCAAGTGCTTCACAGCGCATACAGATTAATATTAATAAAATGTCGGAAAGAGGGCTCTCAACTTAACGAATTCGGAACGAACAGGGGCTTATACAAGTCACTGCATTCATTTTTTAGGAAAGCATTTCTATGAATGAATTCGCTATCATCGATGAAGTGTTTGCTCAGAACCTAGAAAAGGATCCTGTTAGGAGCAAACAACATTAAAACTCGATAGAAAGGGCAGACTGTGTCAAGTTTTGATTATATTCCAAGATTATCGCTGAATTGTTAGAAAGAGATATACAGAAATAAAACGTCACTAATACGTGCCCTTTTGAAACGAAAGTATCTGAATGCAGCATTTTCATCAAGCAGAACGATAAGATTCTACACCTCGCAAAGGTACGAGAATGGCCCAAGCATTCAGTACCACTCTAGAGATAAACTAGCTTACTCTTCGTTAATCTTAGAGCCAAACCAATGAATTGTAAGTTCAGAATAGGGTGACGCCTGGAAATCCAAAACGCCAAAAGGAGGCGACTAACCAAAAATCCAAACCACAAACGAATAGAACCTCTTTTTCAAACCCATCCTGGTGAAACAATGAAGTCAGTTCCTATCATTCCAATTGCTTTGTTCACGAGATTCGGAAGATAAAAGGCCAAGTTGACATTGGTGAATGATGATCCTGAATTAGGCTTACAACTGGAGAGTAGGCTTAGAACGGATAAATGCCCGTAAGAGCGGTGCCTATGCCTTCCCCCTTGAGGGCGATACATGGCCAGATCACGTCATGGTTTTACCACTCGAAAAACCAGGCTTTGAAATGGATAGGGTTCAATTTACATATGATGTTTACAGTAGAGGTAGGCAGGTGACAAGATCCAGTTAGGCTGATGCAGTTAAGGCGGTCGAAGCCTTTCGTACTGCTCGGCTCATTCGACACGTGTAGAGAAAAAAGCTCATTAATCGTCTAACACATAAGGATCATTCAGGTTACAGACCATTGCATCTGAGACCCAAGAAAAAAAAACAAGAATAGCGCAAAAAGCTAACCTGCAATACCACTTTTCCTTTCACAAATTTACCCACATGATCTATTGAGGCGATGGTGGGATTAAGTCAAGAGGTTCCCCACCTCACGTGCACACATGCCTCGGGAATGCAGGAACATGGATGTGGTAGCAGAGTCGCTTGCATAAGTTCCCAGGCGATTATAATTCATTCCTCCCTCCAGGGTGCTTGAATGGTACCGAATTGATCTGTAAGAATAAGTAGCCAATTTATAGACTGGCTAGCAGCGGATCGAGAGCAGCACGCCAGCCCTGCCATTCCTGATATGAGAAGTACACTCAAGTCTCCGAACTACGGTAGTCACGACAGCAAAAATAGAAAAAAAATCTAATTTATTATAGCGCTTTGCGAGTGATATCAAATGTGACAATTACACGTAAGGAAGAATGATAGCGAAGTTTAAATGAATTGATTCAACTATGAAACAGCTGTGTACAAAGACTTATGCAATCAGGAAGTGGAGTTGGCTTCACAAATAGTTCAAACGATGAAAGGTGCCAATAATAGATACTATTTCTACCTGTCTAATGGATAGAAGATGGCTTTCTTAAACATCTGAGTGATACCGTTGTGCTCTAGAAGGTTGTCTGACGATGAAGTACAGTCAGTAGAGAAAGCTCTATGAAAAACCTAACATACTTGACTATCCCATCAAATCAGATGAATAGCTAGGGTGAGACTCAGCGAAATTAAGAAATTTGGGAGGATGGCAAACTTTTGAGGAGGCTTTTCACTGAGGCGTTTCTCCGTCTCAAGACGTTCCTGTTCTATGCGGAGTTCTTCCTGTTTTTGTTTCTCTTCAAGTTCAATTTTCTCTTTATCTCTACGCTCCGTTTCTTGTTTTTCACGTTCTTCCCGTTCCAGCTTCTTCTCGTGGGGACCTGAAACTAGTAATTCCGTTAAAAAGCGTTGTTTACATTATGAAATTGGTGGTAACATAAAACCACTAGAGCCCCCATGGGCAAAAACACCTCATAGAAAGTATTTTGACAGTGAGTGTTTAGGCCAATAAGAAAACCATTTTGTGAACCTTTATGCCCAAGCAATGCAACTGTTCCTTCCTTTGGGCTCTCAGAGGACTCTCTGCTATACACTTGAGGCCAGAGAATGCTCACATTCCTCTAATAAGTAAGTACATCAGGGAACCTGAGGCTTGCTTGTTGTACTTGCTTAATGGCACTATTGTATACCACCGAGCGTGGTATCCTACCCAGGAGACAGAACTTGAAATGACACAGCGTCTATGGGGAAGCTATCAATTACTAGGCAGGTATACTACGCGAAGAACAGGGCGGGCGTGACTATCTGTCATACCCGTCCTTTCTTCACGCAGATATGTATATCCGCCTATATGAACAGTGCAGAGTGCCCGTGGAAGCTCCTACTTCTACTCACTTTTGTAGGGAGCATCAGCTACGGGTGCAGGCGTTGTGGTTGTCTTCTTAGCGCCACCTCCAGCGCCAAGACGTTCCTTCATCTGTTGGATCCATTCTTCTTTTCCACTCGAGACCAGGAGCACATTGGAACCGTAGCGTTCTGGAGGAGGAGCTGAGCCGATCACTGGAAATACTTCTTGAAAATCTAGATTATTATATAATCACATCACAGAAAACCTCCAGACACATTCTCTCTTCCGAACAATACATTAGTCTGCAACTGATGGGTAAGAACGAGTTCCCAGTGATAAATGCCTTTCAATTGGCACCTTCAACCAATTTTCAATGTCAGGAGCACTTAGAGAGAGATGGCTCGAGAATACTGCTTTTCTACTCTAGCCTGCAGTACATCTCCATAAAGGAGGCGGATTCATTGAGCTGGGCGTGACTCGTAGCCTAAGTTGAAAGGCCAGTGCTAGCCGAAAGATTGCTCTATAATCCAATCGATCATTTCCAGGAGACAAGTTGGTCTTCAACACTTTACAGGGAACGTATCGCAAGCCACATAATATTTTCATTTCATAAACATCGTTTACGATTACAGTATTCCCTTTTCGTGGCTGATTGTAGTACAACAATGACGGATTACGATGGAAAGGTATAGGTGAATAAATAAGCAAGTAAACAAGTAATCGGAGCTTACCAATATCACAGTTTCTGCCACCGTAACCATTCTTGCAATCACAGAAGTATGAACTGAATCCAGCTGTCGTTCTGCAAGTGCCGTTGTGAAGACAGGGGTTTACATCGCAAGGTCCTGAAAACTGTTGATCGACAGGCACCAAGACTTGAATGCTTTCAATCCTAATAATAGAACGATTGGGAGTAAGTCTTGAGGGAACAAGTAGGCCCTACACATCTTCTACGAACAATCTAATCTAGAGGGAAAACTGTAACAACAATGAAGCTCATGAGCCCTAGAACGCCTCAAGACGACCAATTAGGGAAAGTACGTGAAACAACTAGCTAAATTTCACTACGCCCTTTCACCCCTTCTACACCCTCAATCGTGGCCGCTGCGTTATTATCGAGATTTCTCATAAAACTCTGTAAGGTTTCAGTGGACGTAAATTGCCTCTGTCCTTTTGAAGTCGGTCGGATTGCATTTCATTTGTATTCTCGTTATCGTTCATCTTCATTACCATCTTTCTTCATTCAAATCCTTGTGAGGAGGGCACGCCAGAGTAAGAGCTGGACTTTTGTGAAGGCCTTCAAATCATACAGAAACGCTTTTAAGGCTTGGAAGAATCGAACCCAAACCTATCTTGAAAAATTCAAGAAGCACAATGTCATAGGAAGAAATAATTCTGTTGAGTAAAATTCAAACTCACGTTGATCACACTGCGGTCCACCGAAGCCTGGAGCACAGTAACATTCATACTTAGCCTTGCCATTTTCCACTTTTGCCGTGCATGTAGCCCCGTTTTTACATGGTTCTTCAGCACAGGGATCGAAATCTGAAATGGAGTAGTAACGGAATAACTTAATAAAAGAGTCATCAGCATGGCCTTGTTTCGAGTGCTCAGCTATCAAGGTATCAATAACCGGAAGATCGGAATTGGTTGGTTCAGAAGATCGCATCGAAAAGGACGCTCATATTCCACAACAAGTCAAGATAGAGCGCCAGAATAATTTGCTGATATTGAGGAGACAGGGAAAATGCCATGCGAGGGCTCAAAAATGAGAAGCGGCAGAGGATCTTGGAGAGTGTTGCTAAATGCGAGTAAATTGCCGCTTTCGAGTAGGTAATAAGCAATGTCTGCAATTTAGTTTTCATAACAATGGAGATTATGTTCACAAAAAGTAGTTGCAACTGCTACTCACATATTCAAATCATCCAAAAGATTTTCGGTGGTGTTGTCATCATTCTCCGTAATGCACAATACGCGAATACCTTCGCCAGGGTGTCCCAAATTATGAGCACCAACTCATGGAAATGTATTTAAAGCTTCTCAGCCGAGAATGACAATGGAATATGCATATATGCACGTTTGCAAACATTACGTGCTACATTATACTACAAACACATTTTAAAGTAGCCCTCATGAGCACGGATGGAGGCACACAGTTTGCTCCCAAACTCCTCGCATGTTTCACGCAAGTATCATCCGAAATTTCTTCCCAGCCTCTCTTGAGACTTACTTTTTAGTCCTCCAAACAGGGACTGCGAACTCGACAGGTGCTCTTCTAATCAGGAATCATAGGTAGGAGTGAAGTGGGTTGATATATGGAGAGTAGGATGGCCACTCCTCTTTGCTAATGGAGTCGGGCAGCTAGTGTCGGCATCACGTGCGGGCGAGCTTGCCTCTGTATGCAGGAGTACCGTCCTGCTGGGAGGGCTACCAGCTATTTCAGGGAAAAGAGTCGGATCAGTGCTTCATTACGTCCATTAGTAAGCTCTTTGAGTACAGGTCTTTGTCTCGAAACCATGAGCGACCTCTTCCTTGCCAAGGACTCCCTCAAACAACATCATCTTGCTGTTCTTATAGCAACTTTTTTTGTAAGAGACTGCAGTGCGATGCTTATAGCTTAGGCGTGATAGTACTATTTGTTGAAAAGTGATTTTGCTTTTAGAAAAAAGGTTTCAGCTAGAGGAAACGATGAAGGGTTGCGTGCTCCCACCCTAGTTAGTTAGCAACTTCCCGCACTTTTTGGCTTTGCGTGTCTGTTGAATTTGGAGTCAAAACGAAATAGAAACGGCAAAGAAGCTTCTGCTTGACAATCCACTCCAGTGGCAACTTTGCCCTGCTGTTGCCATTTTTTTAATGAGTGGGTGAAGTGAGTTTGATGAATTACTCCTACCCTTATAAGTATCTGGATTTTGACGCCCACCATTTTGTGACCCCTGTATATTCAACCAATATCTCGGACGAAGTCCTAAATATTCAAATTTCGTATAATTCATAAGGGTATCATTCACCGGAGCGTTGTATAGAACGCTTTTTTAGATATAAGCCCACAGTTAGGGCCAGTTCTCCAGATTTTAATTCTCAGATTTCAATTTTCAGTCTTCTAGTCCTCGGCTCCCCGGCGACAAAGTGTCTAACAAGGTCAGACAAACGACATCGATCACTTTATGAGAAGAAGTTAGAAAGGGTGAAGGAAACAACCATCACGGGAAAGAAACAATGACTGACGATTCGTCGAGCGTCGAATTCGCCACCTGTCAATCTCAAAGACAGGAACAAGCAAGGTCGCACAATCACCTAGCCGGACTATGTTCTTTGGCGGACACATGTTGTATTTGTCATAGTGTGCTAGCACGATAAGCAATTCAGTCTAGTTCTTATCATTCAGGCATTCTATCACCGAGCCGTCGAAACATGGTGCATCGGTCGAGAAGTTCGACTTTCACAAGCGAGCTTAGTGGCCTCGAAAAAAGCACAAAAACTGGCGCACGTAATGGTTTGGAGCCGATGGATCATTAGAATTAGAAAAGGACTCAGCGTTAATCAAGATAAAGCAGAACTGTGATTTATAAAAATATTGATGTCCTTTTAAGGGCACCGTTCACGATAAAAAAGGTTGTTGAGTACTTACCTTATTAATACTCAGCGGCCCCCATGGGTTGTAGAAGGGACCCTCTCACTCCTCCAATTTCGACCTCCGGGGCATAGTGGCGGCCCTGTTGTTGCCGTAGTCCGCGTCTCCGCCCCTTGACCGACGTCACGTCAGACGAGATGTAGAGACGGCACAGTGTCATGTAATCGCGAAAGGCGAAAACAGCTGTTTGGGTGTGATGTCTGCAATAGCAGACATTGCGTTGCCTTCGTGCCTTCGTGCACTCGCCCGAACACTCCCTTGACCGCCGTTCTTTCAATGTGAAACTCGTCCAACCCCCCTTTCCAGCTCTTTTTTGTCCCTTTGTATTTCTTTTTGTTCATCGTTTTTTGCGCTTTTTTGTTGTCATCGTTTTATTCTAGAGTAGTTCTATCAATTTCCCTCAAAAAAGGGTACCCTAAATTTATCGTAAACGGTGCCTTTAAGAATGCCTACAAAGGAGGCGGAGTTTAGCAATGCAAAACAAAGCGACCAATATGACATAGAATAACCAGCGCAGTCAAAAGGTAATAGTCATTATGAAGAGGAAGTAGTGGGGAGGCTATTGGTAGGCTAAGGCAGAAACCAATGAAATACAAGATACTAGCTGTATCGCGACTCTCAGAAACTATTAGGCAACAAAAAAGTTCGTGCGGTTTTTTCTAACTGATTATTTCTATACAATGTATTAAAAAACTGATTGTGGTAGGAGGGTGACATTGCATATGCTTTGAAGCTTGCTTATGCAGAATCACTCAGTGTGCCTCATATGTATCAGTAGTGCGTTTTAAGTCTAAAATTTTGAGTGGAATATGGCTGTGTCGAATGAGATAACTCACGCCTGTTTACTTTATGAGATAATCTTGGCAACAAAAGAAGCTTGCGTAAGATATGCGCTGCTTTTGAGGAATGTTCGATAACAGAATGGACGGGTCAGGGGTGGTCTAAAAAAGTTTTCTTTCGGAAATGAAAAACTTGAAGGTGAACCAAGATCTGGTAGACCGTCCATCGTCAATAACGAGGAAATCAAGCTGACAATCGAGCAAGACTCCAGTCAAACGTGTCTGGACCTTGCTTTGAGATTTGATGTGAAGCTCGGAAAATGTTGGAAGTTGAGCAAATGGGTACCTTATGAGTAATGTGAAAGAAACAAGCTACAGCGGCTAACCATTTGAGCTCCAAAATTCAAGACTTTCATCAAAATGGAGTATACCAGCTTGTTTCAAGATGGGAGGAAGTCATTGTTGCTGAAGGAGACTATTTTTCAGAATCAACTTTAGCTAAACCGTCTTTTGTATATTTATTTATCCACTTGCAAAACCGCACGGAATTTTTAGGGCACCTGGTAGATTCACGTCACGGAACAAAATCGCTAATAGTTTCCAACTTCTCTCTTGCTTTAACCTCGGCATAGTTGTTTATTATTTAAATACTCTTGTGCCGTGCGAGGTTGTTAGGTGGAACGATTTATTAATTCAATGGCCTAGCG